CCCTAAACCCTAAAGCCCTCGACCCTAACAACAGCAAAGCTGGCTGCAAGACTCAGGCCGAGCCCTGGAGGTAGGTAAACTAGACGCCTAGATGGTCAATACGGTTAATCATACTATCTCTAGGGCTCCTTGCTATCATTGGGGTGTTAGGGTACCATGCACACCAAAAACCCTGTTGATGGTTAAGGCTCCTCTGTGTTCCGGGCAACCACGGAGCATCTGTCCACATAGCCATGACGAGACAGGCGAAGCTCCAATTCCACCGTCGTGGCCCGAGAACATTCTGACGGCAATATTGCAGTATCTTTTTGCTACAGTGTTTGCCCAAGATATCTTGAGCGACCGCCGTAAACCGGTAGTTGCCGGCAGTCTCAAAGGAGGGGCTGAGGCGTGTGAACCCGGTTACGTACGCCCAACACATTAGCCCTAAATTCAGCCTAAAATTAAACCCAAGCTTTAAGGCCTACACCCAACAACCTGAGCCTCAAAACTTAGACCGTTGGCTCTAAGCCATAAATCCTAAACCCTAAGCCCATTTAGGAAAACGCCTTTCAGGTTTTAGGCTACTAGCGGGTTTCGGGGCGAGAGCGCAGGATTTGGGGCTTGGGGTTTAGGGGTTGAAGAGGGCTTCGGGTGAGGACCTATGAAATTTCATTTGCGGGTCGAGGTATGCGACAATTGGGGGCCCCAACTAAGATCTGGGTCAGTGTCCTAACCATGCCCGCAATGACTAGGGAGTCCGTTCAGAAGACGAAGATTTAGCGAGCTTGCAAGCAGTACTTGATATGAACTAATTAGTTGTTGTACATCGAGGAGCAAGAGTTGTGAGTAGTGAGGCGATGGGCAATACAAGCAAGCTTTGTTTCGTTCATGATACTTCGTAGGACGTGGGTCGCTAGAGCAACGGATTTCGGTCTTGAGTTGCAGTTTGATGCGTGCGATGGGCAGTGGAAAATGGAAAATGCTGTGAGAGACATCCACAGCATAACAAGGCCATGCAGTTACAAGCCTAGAACTCTTGGGAGGAGCGGGGGAGCATGCATTCACGCGCGTGTATGAATGTATCAGTTGTATGAATGTATCAGTATGTGAATTTTTGTATACATACATATATATATATGTGTGTGTATATATATACTACAAATATATTTATAACTATATGTATACAGTATACACATGTATACATGTATGCATGTATGTATGTATGTATGTATGTATGAATGAATGTATGCATAATGTGTGTATGTACAGAATATGTTTGTTTACATCTCTATATATACTTACACTTATGAATGTGTAGAAATGCCCCTTTGCACACGGTATGTATCAGATACATCACATCAAGCCTTCTACATTCCTAGTCCTCAGATGATGCTGCGTAAGGTGGCCTCGCCGCATCGCTTCTGCTGCGCCTGGCGGCCGAGCCGATGCCCATCTCTGGCTTCGTCGAGCTCTTCGACCTTGCAAAAAGAACGGCGTGTACGGACATAAGTATGTATGTTTGCAAACATGTTCATTCGTCCACTTCCTTCATTCCTTCATTTGTACTGGTTTTGCTTCTTCATTTCTTGATTTATTTGTTATTTCGTACTTCATCAAGGTTATTATTCTCAAAAAACCCTCAGCCCTAAACCCAGCGCCCAACTAGGGAGACCGAAGCTGAGGCAGCGTAGCTGCGGCTCCTCCCTGATCAGCAACGTTTGCGCTTCCGGTGAGGCTTCCTCGGGGGGGTTTAGGGTTTGAGGGTTTAGGGGAGTCTGGGCAGTGTCCAGCACAAGGCAGAAGCTGGATGTTACTGAGAGCTGGATTGGCTCCTTATCATGGCGGTCGTCCCTCAAGCAATCTCAGGGGTGGTTGATTTTACAAGGAACTCGTGTGAATCCCCGCATGGCAAATCTATTCAGCATGACTTTCGTGCTAGTGGCTGGACAAAAGATGGGATGCGAGGAGGCGGATGCCATGGATGTCAGTGTGGCGGCGGCCCAGGTTCGATGGAGATCTGATCGAGATGTGTCTTTCTCTCTGGCACTTCGGGGTTTTGCAGGGTGTTCGAAGTGCATTGTGCAGGAATCGACGAATAAGATCCGGTGGCTGTGATGGAGAAGACCCTAAGGGGCATTTGCGTCCTTCGGGTTTTGGATTCGTGTCAGCGACACGAGAGAATCTATGTTTCCGCCTGGACGAGTACGTGGCTATGAATGCTGCAGCAGGTTCTACCAAACCAGCTTACTGTTGGCATCATCGCCATCCCACTGCTCTGCCTGCTTGGTCGAGTTGCCTGTTCTGAAGCACGCAATCTGTTCAGAATTGGTTTGCGGCAGGCAATTGCAGTCATTCTTGATGGTGCCAGAGCCACAGCTTTGCAAAGGGTAGCAGGAGGCCTGTGAATTTCCAAAAGCCTAGTTTAGTACTCGTATTCGTAGTACTACCACAACTACTGCTTACTACCACCAGCACCAGCACCAGCACGACGACGACGCCGCGGACACCACCATCGCCAACACCACCACCGCCACCACCACTTGCACCGTCACCACTGCAAGAGAGCTCTCTATTCAGTGCTGCTTGGGATGAGGTCTCCAAGCTCGATGGCAGTGTTAGCAGCCGCTTCGCAGAAATGTTAGACACATCCGTGCAGGGCTCAGATACCTGCGCACTTGCATCTTGTGTTCCATGGGTATCTTGGCTGAGTGGGCGTGAACGAGGTACTAATCATGTACAAATGCTGCAGCGGCTTGCACGGACCCCAGAACCATCCAGGGCCGCTATTGGAGTATGAACACTTCCATCCTCAGCCCTCAACCCCAAGCTTCAAACTGCAAACCCAAACCGAAACAGCCTCCATACCGCCGGAGGTCACACAACATAATCAAAACACCATCCTGAGCTTCGTCTTTGCCGCGCCCTTGGAGCACTTCCTGTGACGGTTTTTGACTGCGGGCCATCTTTATTCATACTACCAGTACTCGTGTGATCACTAAAGTTACTAGAGTCGTGGCCACTATGAATTCTGCTATTTGGTTCACGGCCATGACAGCTTGCTCCTACTGCTTTGAGCTTGGTGACATGATAGATCGTCTCCTACAGTGCTATGATGTGTCAGAGTTAGTGAGGCGTCTTCGCTTTCAGAACTTTTTGTTACAATTGCCGTGATTGCTCAAATTTATGCTGCAAATACTGCAGTTGATGCTACTGCTATTGCTGTTCCTGCTTGTTATTCTAGTTCTTGTTCTTCTGCTGCTTCTTCATATCATTTGTATTGTTCCTGTTACTTGACGCTATTCCTGCGCCCGTAGTTCTGTCTGTACTTCTGAACTGAGTATTGTACAGCACCATGGCGTTTATCGTGAACATGTTTGCCAAGCTTGCTAGGCACTCTTGCTTGCAGTGCTACTTCAACATGTTTTTTTTGATCACTGCTCCTTCCAACACAATTTGTACCGGATGTACTAGCATCACTCGTGTTATTATGTACACGTCGTTGTTGACGCTTCAGTTGCGTTCATGCTGTGCCTGTTCTTGCTATGCGCGCGATGGTGGTGACGATGATGGCTCAAGCCTGATTATCTAATGATGATGGCGATGGTTTTGGTGAGTCTTGACCGTTAGCCGGAGTGCAGAGTTTCTTGCACCTGTCGCTACTACTGCTGATCATGCTGTGGTGGTGGCGTCGACTGCTGTTCCGGCTCTTCCATGATGAGGGTAAAGGCACTACTCCACAGTCTTGTAGCTTCGACAGTCAGTAGGCTGGGCCTCTGCAATAACTCTTCCGCAGACCCAGAAGTGCAGAAGCGCTGAACTTCCCTAAGCCTTAAGACTCGACAGGTCTTAAATTAAGCTTTCAACATCCCCAAAACCTAAAAGCTTTCAAGGCCTGTATACTATAGATAGAATATACTAGAAATTTCTATAACATTCTCCAAGAATATACACTATAGTTTACTATGATATCAAAGAATCTACTGTAGTATACTAGAAGAATACTAGAAGTATACTCTCATATGCTACCTGAAAGCTCTTCTCAGGGCTCCAACCTGGTGGGGCGCGGAGGCGGGCTACGCACGGCCCGCCGCGCTGTCTGCTGGGGCAGCGAGGGCAGAGGAGGCCTCTGTTTGGTTTAGGGTTTAGGGTTTCGGGTTTGTGGTTAGGGATTTAGGGTTTAGGATGGTGATGCCGACTGCTGGGCTGTGCGAGTCAACAATCGTACTGGCTCACGCAAGTGTTTTTCTCTACGCATCATACATGGTTGTTTCCATACCGTTTAGATTCGCATCATGTGTTCTTTCTCGATATGGGCACAGAACCCCCTGCATCCAGCTAGACATTCGGCATGAACGATGTTCCCTGCAGTGATTCGGATTTCAGGAATATCTTCCGGCAGCGGCGATGAAGTGGGGTGGCCCGTAGCTTCGTTGCTTCGTCAGCATCGTTGAAGACCGCGAGAGTAACCAGGCAAAACTGGAAAGACAGGGTTTATCTACAGTAGCTAATCATCAGTCATCATTGCAGCAAAACAGACCTAGTAGTATATATGGCACTCAACATGCAAACGCCAACAATGGCACCAAAGGCGACACTTTGTAGGTTCCAGGCAGTGGATCGAGATTCTCTTGATTCTCTTGCTGATGCCTCGCATTGTCTGGGTCAGCTTTATTCCTCTTTGCAACATCACAAGCTGTTGTCATCTTCGGTTTCTTACCCGTGCGAAGATTATTGCTATTGACCCTCTGACTGTTGCTGCTCCCATTGTCCCTGGGGATTTAGGGGTTGTTTCATTCGATTTGCTCATGCTGTCTAGATTCGCACTGCTCCGGCCTCCTATCATATCGGCACCTCTTACCGGGATTCGAGTGCTTGAGGCAAGGCCACAGCAATGATTCCTGTAATAACGATAAGTAAGTTGGATCATGAAAAGCGGACGTTCCGCAAGCTTGTGCTGCACAGTTCTCCCAGTCGAAGAAGTTGTAGTCGTTCTGAGACTAGCACCCCTGCGCAAGATCACTCGAATCCTGGCGAGATGTGATTGCTGGTCTTCCCTGTAGTGCAGGTGACCCCAGGGCTTCCGAGCCATACCCCCCAAAAGAGTCATATCGATGCTAACATGTTACCCTTCCTGCGCTGCGCAGCAGAAGCCAGGAAGCCCTGAGAGGCCACAGGTTTTCCAGCCACACGGAGCTGCGCAGGGAAGAAAACGCCTGAAGTTTCCACATCTCTCGTTTCGAGTATCGCTGATGCTCCAGCAGACGCATACCCATGCCCTGCCTGTCAATGCAATCCCAGTTTCGGGAGAGTTCGGGAAGCTGCATTTTTGGACAGTTGTCATATCATGGTTTCAACATAGAACTCTAAGGCACCACGACATGGGCTTATGAGACATGCACACATCGACTCAGCATGTTTCCTAGTAGTACAGAGCCTGTGCAGTGCCCTGGGCGCTGTACAGGCATCGCCTTCCTGTTGGCCACAGGCACATTTCCGGCCACAACCGCATCAGTGTCCATTATTGCAGACGTTGCGTGAGCGCCGGCGTTGGCATTAGTATTGGTCTTGTCTTCACGATAGTCCTCCACCATCACCCCGACATGGCTCATAAACGCGCTGCACAACATAGACATAGTAGCCGCATGTCAAGCCATGAACCTTTCCACTGTGGCGTCCCAGCTGCGCGCCTGCCCGAGAAAGGGCTTGCCCGGAAGTGGGCCCCTAACCCCCTAACCCCCTAAGCCTCTAAACCCCTAAACCCCGAAGCCCCGAAGTCCCTAAACCCCAAACCCTAAGCGCGAAACCCTGAGCCCCTAGAGCCCTAAACCCGGAACTCCCAGAGTCGACGCTGGGCCCGAGTGAAGCCCTCCGCTCTGTTTTTTCATCTTGAAGCCCACAGACATAGTACGGTGGATGATATTACCCAGTAAGAAATAATAAGGAATATGCCATAATTCCAATAGTTTGGGGTCCTTAGGGTAATGCAGGGTTTATACGATCGACAGTAGTTGGGGTCTTTTCTTTCGCTTTTCTTGAGGACTTAGTGTAAGGATCCGATTCTTGGTATTCGGTTTTGGTTCCTTCTTTAAAGACTTGTCGTAAGGGTCCCATTCTTCGGCTCTCTCGTACATACGTACATACTAAGCCTCATTAAGAGCTTCTTCTAGTCTTAATATGACGAGGGTCCAAATATCCGGATCTGTGTCCCTAAATCCTAAACCCTAAACCCAAGGTGCTGCACAGGACATCTCCAATGCCCGAGCCTCGCGAAGTTTCTCGCACGGTCGCCACGAGTCAGTATCTGTTGACAGAGTCTGGGTTCCGGGCTTGGGAGGGCTTTTTGAGAGTGGGAGCCTCCTGAAACTGAAAGGAGTAGTCAGTCTGTCAGCAGTTGGATGTACTAGCCACCGCCTTGCATGCAAGTGTAAAGCCTGAGCCCTCACAAGCCTTGCCAGAACAAGCTTGTGGGCACTTTACCCGCCTCTTTGCATACCCAATGTTTCCGTTGCGGCAAGCATCATCCTGGCTGGTCTTAAATACATCTACACGACCATCAACTACTTGGAGGTTATGAGGAGTTGCAAGTACGGTTGTAAGTAAGTAGGTGCCCTGCGCTTTCGAGGTGTGCTGAGCGTAACTACAGCGGCCTCAAAACTGTGTAAGCCCTGAAAATACCCCGAAAAAAACCCTTGCAAAAGGAGCCAGATTCGAGTTATTCAAGCGGCTAATTATACTCTTAACCCTTATTGCCAGTTGTAACCCTTATAGATCCTTGCAGGACCCCGTTGAAAGAACCGGTAGAAGGAAATCCATTCTAATCACAAGGGCTTCCACATTATGCGCACGTGCAGCCCAGGCTGGATTGACTTCTGCTTCAATGACACAGTCGCTGCAGGAGAACTTTTTGTGATTAGTTAGTTTTAGGCTTGCGGTAAGGGTTGCTTTTGAGCATTTTTGAGCATTACTATCAGGTTTGTTGGTTTGAGGGTTGCAACAAGGGCTACTGTACATCGATACTACAAGGATTGTTAGCCTTGGCAGGTTGTGATCAGGGTTTACTGTAAGAGTTGCTACGTTAAATTCAGGGTTACGATACGGGGTGCTAGCTAGTATGCCACGACTTGCTATAAGGGTTGCCTTGCGGGCTACTTTTTGCACGAGTCGTCAGTCTGGTCAGCTGTTATGGCTTGTTCAAGTCAATGTGGGGGGTTTCCGAAAATAGGGGACCCTAATATAGTACCCTTAATAGTAGGATCCCTGTTATAAGGACCCCCAAAGTAAGGTGCCCCTAATTTTCGGAAAGTCCCATGTGAGTTGCAGGAAGGCGCGCAGCGAGCGTCCGAGTCCTGGATCCAACCTGTTCGCTGTTTATCCAGTGCTAGCCTCACTATTCCGTTTGATGCCACTAGAGTATGCTCAGTACTGCTAGTTCTGCTAGTCTCGTGGTTATGGTTGATGATGGTCAAAGTAAGGTGTCGGTGATGAAGCCGAAGAAGATGACGATGGCGACGATGATGGTGAGAGTGAAGGCGATGATGAGGGCAACGGGCATAGTGATGATTTTGATGGTGGCGACGCCTTTAAGAATGACGATGGCAATGACGAATGGCGATGTTCATGGTGGTTAGATTTGGCCACTGTCCTTGCAGAAGTGATTACAATCCGGAATACAGCTGCTACTGCTGCTGCTGAAGAAGCGCAGGCGACTGCTTGGGCAACAAGTACCAAGTACTGCTTTGCACTGTTGCTGCTACCAATGCTTCTGCCCCTTCTGTTTCTGTAGGTGTCGGTGTCGGTGTCAGTCTCGTTCTCGTTCTCGTTCTCGTCGTCGTCGTCGTCGTTGTTGTTGTTGCCCTTTGCACTCAGGCGTGGTGCCCTTACCAACTTGGCAGGCGAAGCCCGTG